TATAATTTTTATTTTGAATTTAAAAATCTCTCGGTTATCGTTAGAGAGAATTATAATGAACTAGAGGTACGTTCGCTATAGCGTCCGTTCTTTCATCTTATTGGTGCTTTACGCCAGAGCCTTAATATTATTACTATTTTGAATCATTAATGTTATAATGATTATTATTATTATTATCGTTATTAGATAATAATTATTTAGTTTAATTAATTATTATCTTCGCCACAGAATTAAATAAATAATTTATTATTAATTATTATCATTTAGATGTATCTATATATTTAAGGGGCTCTCAGCTACTCACGTTTCTTCATTATTATTTATCAATGCCAATGTGTTAATAATTATGTGTTCGTATGTCTCGTTCGTGTTCGTTATTGAATAATTAACCAACCGGGCATTCACGCATCAACTCCACTACTTCGCCTTTCTTCTTCTTTTTCTTTCAGTTTGCCTTTATCTCTCGCACTAGATCAGACTCCTACATATTCAGAAAAAAAAGGGCATTCACTATGTACATGAAGATGTGTATATGTGTGTATGTTGATAAAACATATTACATTTTTATATAGTCTTTTCGCTCCCTCTCCGGTATAGGTTGTTGACGTCTATATATTGTAGACAGTGCAGTTATTGTCATTTCTATGATTACGAGTATTTACAAACAAAAGGGCTGATGTTTTTAATATGAGAAGTTTAACGTAAGATGGAGTGGGTCCTTACCGGATACACGCCACAGTACGCAGTGATACGATACGATACAGATACGCCACAGTTAGTAAACCAGAAGGCTTTGGAGCGATAGACAAAAATCGCAAGCCCAGGAAACGCGTCCTCTAAACAAAATGCAAATCCAAAATCGGGCAAAGGAAGCATACGTGTCGTTAAATTGTATGTTAAGCTTTAACATACTCCGTTATGTGTGGCTTGGTTAAATAATTGCGTCGAACATACGCAAACGCGTCGTATTTGCATCAGTTAATTCGTCTACAACTCAGCTGTTGGCCAATAGATCCGATCATTCACTGAACGTTAAAAAGTGGCGTTAAGTAATAAACACTTCGGACAGGACGGTATTAAGGAGAGCGTATATATATAATATTTTAATGAACTTGAAGGTTAAGCTGCTCTAACTTCTTATTATGTGTTGTAGAAAGGCGATTTCTGATCAAGTTATTGGTCTTAAGTACATAGAGTGCGATGCGGTCGCTTACGACGGATCGCAGTACGGCAGTTTTACAGTATTTATTCTGTCGTCTTACGGAATCTTCGAAGTACGAAACAGTAAATGTGCAGAAATTATCTTTGACGCTAGCAGCTGCTTGGGAGTGCACGTTGTTGTATGCACTTAGTATTGTTGAATTACCATTATGCGCTGATGTAACTTTAACTATCTGATCGGCTAATGAGTAGCTAATGCCAGCTCGGCTGGCACTATTTGTACCGACTGGCAAAGCCGTTTATTTGCCCTCACTCATTTTTCTACTCATTAATGAATGTCGTCAATATGAAGCGACCATTAGACTGAAAAAGTATACGATTTTTTTTTACTTGTGTTATAAATTTAATGCATAAGACATGAAATCTTTTTTTACATGCCTGATAGAAACTGGTTCTTTACGAGGTCATGTCCGTCGGTTACGTGTGTGTGTGTGTATGTCACATAGTTTAATGAGACTATGATGAGACATTTCTACAAATGCACACAATTAAACATTTTCGATATTTTTATAAATGAATCGTTGTTTCTACTTTCAGCTCAGTCAGTGATTATTTGATTTTAGGTAGTTTATGTATATGTATTTTCTGTATGAAACAAGTATAGCTTATGATGGGTTATCACAGAATGTTTATGGGACGAAAGGAGGTAAGGTAAGGGGGGTAGATTCATTCCATCGACAACAGTTAACACTAACCTTGAACGTTTTGTTTTCAAGCGATTGTCTAGACGCGTTATCTGATGAAGGTCCTGCCATATATATATATATATATATATATATATATATATATATATATAATTTGACTTTTCACAGTATCTCTTCATTTGTTGAGCGACCGATTGAATGATTTACTAATCATATGACTACTGATTCTATCAAATAATAAAATGATATGTACAATGAAGAGGTCGTTTGACCCGCGGTCATTGAACATGGGAACAGGTCTCGATTAATAGAATTTACCCGGAGCTTTCCGTAATGACTTATGGCTCTTGATGATCTATTCAATAATGTTTACAATATGATTATATAAGACATATTGATGCTAGGATGTCCATTGCTGTTAAAAGATCCGAAAGTCAAATAAAGAATAATAATTCTGCCTGATAAGCATCCATAAAAGGATGCACAATAACCAATTAGGCGTTTGCCATAATGAAAAAGGTTAGGTTCGTCAAAATTAAAAAGTATGACATAGTCTTTTTAACAAGCTATGTAGAAAATCAAGGACACTTAATTATCCTATAAAATAATGCACCATTTCAGTTCAATCTTTCAGATTGGAGTGGTACGGGGTCATAATCTCAGGCTCATTTGACTTAGATGCTCATCAACCCTAGTTATTTCGAAAGCTAAGGTCGCAAAACGGTTAACACGCCTTATCCTTGCGATCCTGCTGCTAGCAAAACCCGCAACTAATTAATAGCTCCTTAACACAATTAGCGTATATTAATACCGAGCATGTCTGTACGTATTTCTAAATCGAGCCCAGGAGAGAGCTGCAATTGTTAATGTATACAAATGAATGAGAAAAGCTTATTGAAGGTAGTCCAATGAGATTCAGTAATCTCACAGAGGACTTCCTGGCACCAATATAGCATCAGAAATGCGTACGCAGTTATAAACAGTACGCGTAGTATTTCAGTGAAGTACAACATAGGTAGCCGCTTAAGTAGGCTGTTAGTAATATTCTATTTCCCGAAATTAAAAATAAAAGGCCGCCAATGAAATACACCAAAACTTAACGCGGTCACTCTGAGTTGGCCTTAGCAGGTCAAACAGTAGAAAGCTTGACCTACAAATTAGTTGGCAACAGCAGTGTGAGCCCGGCTCCGTAGTAGGCTTCGGTGGTACGATGTGACCAGATGAATTATGTATCTATTCTGTTGTTCCTCTGGCGAATATTCACCACAGATGTCGCTGGTATGTCCTCTGCTTTTGTTGAATTTACTACTACTTATTGAGTTCCTAGCATTTACCTACTTCATATATATATATATATATATTTGAACCCCGCTTTAACAACAACATGTCTACCCATCGTAGGTCTATGCATAGAACCAACAGTCTCAAATGCGCTTCTCGGTTCTTGCTTGCTTCCCAGCTTTTCTTCTTCATTCGTTCCCAGCCTCCTGCTAGCTATACCACTATAGGAAAACACATAACTACACCATCGTCGGTTATCAGAGGACAACGGCGGAGTAGAGACGACACGATGTGTAACCTACCATCACTGTTAGAAAATAGGAAGCCTACCTCAGCTAGCACATTTTACCAACTGACTTAAGCAGGATTTCTAGTTGAAGATACGTAATCAAATCGTATACAGCATGCTAACGTACACCAGTCAAGGCTTATACTAGTCAATTTTCCAGCACTCAAAGGATCAATTATAGATCAGCAACTTCATAGAGTTTGCCGTTAGACATCCTTCTCAGCTTCATTTTCACTGAGGTGAACTGAAAGTTGGAATAGATACGAGTGCAACGTCTAAAAATGACGGCTGGCAAACGCAACAGCAGCCAGAACGATAATAGACGCATAGCTAATATGCACTTGCAACTATTCGAACTTGATCGCGTTGCCCTCTTCTACAAAGCCAGTCCTCCTGCTCGGAAAGTTGGTAAATCGCTGTCCCAGCAGCTGTAGGTCGTCTCTATTTGCCGCTAGCCGGAGGCAGCAGTGGGAATATCGAAAATTTCGGCGAACAGCGGCTGTAACATTTGTAGGCTTTCCCATCGGGCCCGGAACCATTGTAGATGCTCAGCGTGCCGCCGTCCTAACTGTCTTAGCTCTGGTAGCTTGCCAATCAATTGGTTGAAGAGCTGTTGATCACCTTGGTGATTTCGGAGCATTTGTAGCTTCAGGGCTTCGACAAGTTTTGCCTGACATTGCTCCACGGTTTTGCTATCGTAAAGGTTTGATCGCTCGGAGAACGCTGAAATTGTTGAAATCAGAGCAAAAATATACAAGGCGGAAGTAAATTAACTGTGTGGGAATTGCTTGTGGATTTTTCTGGAGTAAATTATTATAATTGTAAAGTGAACGAAAAATGTTTAGAAATAACTACCTAGTAAGGATCGATGAATATTTGACGTAAAATATCCCCAAATGCATGTAAAGTGCAGCTATAAAATATTTTCACGTTAGATCAGAGAAAGCCTGATCTCATATCGAACAAAATATGTGATTTATAGTGAACGAATATGTCGAGTTGACGAAAACCATTTCGTAGATCTAAAGCGACTAAAAGCCAATCAACAGCCCTCATTTCAGCAGCTTCTTTTCCAGTTTTACCGATTGACAATTAGAGGACATAAATAGATATTGATGCGCTGTCTTGGTATGTTGTAATTACCGTTGGTCAAAAGGGCTACAGCACAGAAGAGGCCAATCTCTGTGTCGTTAAGGTTTAATCCATTAAATGACGTGAAGAAATTAAACATCGATGTCGAAAAGTCCGGCTGAAATGGTCGATAATGGTTAATATAATTGTGTAAATCAGTACTAAACTAGGCTATTTCAACCTGTTTCAGCTTACTGATCGCTTATCATACAAACGGCAATTAACAAATCTAAACAAATAGATGTTAGTTTTTCCTCCTAATGAAATATTAACACGAAAAATTTTCATCTGACAGAATAACGGAATAATGTAGTACTCAGAAAAAAAAAAAACACTTAAAGTTTTCATCACAAGCATAGTCATTACAACTCACGTCAAAGATGAAGTCCAGTTGATCGTGCGAGACGTACGTCCCGTCTGCAAACGTAACAGCGCCTCGTGAGGCTTCGTCGTCCGGTAATACGCTCCTTGCCACGTGCACAAGCCACACCTCAAAGAAACCGAGCTTGATCAAGATTAGTTGATCGTCTTGAGCAAATTCAAGAAAGCCCGGGATTCGCTTGGCAAATTCAACTACGTCCTGGATCGAAGGAGTGACCAAAGCCGCAAGTTGCTGCCACCATCCAACTCGTTGAGATTCGACACTGGCACAAGTTGAGCCACCACCCTCAAGTTTAACTTCGGGAATTGTCTATAGGGAAAAAAGCGTTGTTATTACAAGTATGAACAACGTATCCGGTTTAATAATATCTGCATAGATACTTCTACTTCAAGGAAGATATTGTTCTACTTGTTGAGCCGCCGTTTGCTCTAGTATCGCCTTAAGGTTGTTCGATTACCTAAGCCATTTAACGTTTATATTTAGTAGCAACAACGTAGTACATGTATCATATAAACGGGGGTCTTTGAGACATTGTACGCTGTTTGCTTCTTAGGTGCAAATGAATACCACTAAGGCAGAAGACGAGAGTCTTAAGCACCGCTATAGGGATGTTCGCTCGTATTCGGCAGGAACTTGCTGACCAATTGGAAATGATTCAACGAGCACTTTAAAAAAGTTGCAAAGAATTATTTTCCGTATCCAATTATTTCTATTGATGAGATTTTCATCTATTCTGGATAAGTAAACTATTCGCCAAAGGAAAATGTTAGTGTGTTTCTAGTGGAACATGAAAAAAATGCTGGTTCGTATTTCTAATTCTTATAATCTAGCGAAACAGTCCAGTTGAAGAGCGAAAATCATTCTCAGGTTAAGAAAGTGGTGAAAAGATCTTTCTGCATGACATTTGTTTTCACCTAGCTTTAACAGTGCCGGAAACCACCTTGCACTTCGCCTAAAAATTTCTAACTCACATAGTTTATTCGTCGGCCTTGAGAGCGCCAAGATAATTTAACTCTACACAAAACCTACTGACCGATAAATAGTTTCGGGAAGTGAAGGCGACACCTTTACTACAAAGGAATCCGTAAGGTGCCTAATAAATGGCAAAGGGCTACCATAACTGAAATTACTTCGCTAGTATAAATTTTATGATTGTTCTAGAAAAATAAAGTTGAATGAAGTTACTGCTGCGATAAAGGATGTAACAGCGAAAAGAGAAAAAACAACAAAAAATATACGATAATTCTTTATTCTTTAGCACACCCATTGTCCTCCACCACACATGCAGTGCCATGGTCATAGTTCTAAAGTCACATAGTTAAGCTAACTATTTTACTTGATAACAAGCTAGTCTGTTGCATACCCATGTCTACTTCATACCATTATTATAGGTTTTCGTATTAAAGAACGCGTTTTTTCGTGTGTAAAAGCACAATGTGCAAGATGCGCTTGAGAAATGCTGAGGATAATGTCGTAAAGGGCCACGGCAGCTGCAGCTTGGTCGTCGGACGAGCTCACATGAGCCTCCTCTTGTCTTTCCCGACACCGCTTTGGCACTCGGCCGTATCGGACAGCTGAAAAGCAACAATAAACAGGGAATACAACAGGTTATTTATGTTTTCTCTTCTGGAGAACTTCGATACCAATAGAAGGTTATAAGAGTGTCTTGTTATTGGTGCAATAGTATCTGTAGTTTGTTATCACAATCGGTAGTAGAGAATTTCCAGCAGTGCGGTGCGCACAATCAACGTTCTTCAGTTGCATACCTCCACGCCATATGATGAACGGTGTCTCTAATTTGTAAAAGAGAGAGAAAAATCAATACGGTACCTACTACACTATAATGAACTGCTCAACGATATATTTGATTTAATCAAAGGGCACAAAAGCCAAGTATCGCTCTTAAAAATTCTTCACGATTTGAGAACACATAATGAAATTATTATTATTACAACTACTAGTACTGCTACCGTCATTATTTTCTTGCAGAAGCCCCTTAAGCGCACTACATGGTGCCTTTTCTAGTGGTCAAACTCGCAATGACTTACAGTCTTTCGACATGCCGACGGCAAGACACTTTTTGAAACGGCAGTATTGGCACCGATTTCTGTTGAGTCTGATGACAAGACATTTGCCATCTCTCAAACACCGATACTCAATCTGTTTCTGGATACTCCGTCGAAAGAATCCTTTGCAACCTTCGCACGATGTGACTCCATAGTGATATCCGGATGCCTTGTCCCCGCAAACTTTGCACGGCACAAACGGTTTGTTCTGATTTGATGCATCGGGACTCGTCTCTGCTGCTAGACAAAACAAAAAACAAATTTAAAAGTTACACTTGGATATTTGCAAAACGAGGTGTCTCCGATAAGAATTAGGATCACCCTTTTACCTAGTAATTTTTCAATGATTGAAAATCACGTGCTTAGACATCACAATCCCTAAGTTAGTTGCATAACGATTAAACATTTACTTGCTTTATACCGAGAATTCTATTTAACAAAAAGGTATTTTCATTTTGACATATTCAGTGATCGATATTAGTGTAGATACTTCAATCAAATCAAGCGTAACACGTGCAATGTTAACCTTAAGAAATATAATTTGTGTTTTAAAATACGGTGTTTATCTATCAGAAACCAAAACACAAAAAGTTTCGGAACAATTAGAGGTATACCATCATATAAGCACGTTGGTTAATTTTTTGCTTATAATTCTAGCCATCTCTACCGTGTAAACAAGTTCCCAGAATATATTCTTATGTATACTATCAAAGACTTACTCGCATTAGGGGGTCTAACCCGGATGGGTCTCGCCGAGCTTAACTGAGGTTTCTTCAGTATACCTATGATACTATTCTGCATGGTATACATATATCATGGTAACCATTTGCCGATCTTGAAACCACAGATAGCTAAATGTTGGTCGTTACTATGGCAACGCGCTCAAAGAGTTGCGGATTAACAACCCTGGCCATGCCGCCCCATGGCACATAGCCCATTACTTAAAGCAAACTGCTGTTTAAGCTAAGACCTTCTACACCCTTAACGTAGGTGGTGTGCAGCTAAGGCAATGGACAGCTCATTTTGTATTTTTTCGTTACTTTGCATATGTTGTATGTGCGGACTCACTAAATTACTGAGGTGCCAAATTAAGCATCGTAGGCCCATAACCTACCGTTCAGTAAATGAGTTCTAATCCGATAACCAGGGACAATTTACATTTGTATATGAAAACATATAGTACATTCACTGCGTCGTAAGGTACGTAAAGCGGACCTATACCACTAGTGTGTGTAGGATGCCGCTATTCCTCATTTCACCACATCAGCCGACGATGCAAAAATTACCTTCAAAATAAGGCATTTCCTTGTTTCCTTTTATAAACCGATGCTTTGTATGACCATCTGTAACAGATATTCCTAGTTGCTGCATTTCCTCTCGGCAGTGACAGCTTGGTGGTCTAATATTATATGTTTAGACACCCTCCTAAGAATAGTTCTTTAATGCCTTGAACATCATTTTTGGTTATCCGAACAAGACGTTCTATGTCTTGCGTGAAAACAAAGATCAACACCTAAATGACTTCGACCGATGTCGCTGGTGCAACTGAGCGTCACACAACAAAACTATCTGTTGTAATTATTAGAGTTATCATTAGTCTGTAGTAACATGCTGCCCTTTCAAAATCTGTTAGACGTTTATTTCACAGAAGCTTTGATTTGGTTTGGTGTATCACTACATTGTCGCTATGAAACAATGTGTTAGTTGCAATTAATTCGATGTCGATAAATTGAGACAATTTTATTATCACAACAAGACCATATCCGTTACTGCTACTGCCACTAACAAGTAAAGCTTGCTACTTCCGTCACGAATCGTGAGCAAAATGCACAGCTTTTATGTCGCTGAAATACGTTCTATATTCTAGAGTGGATTATGAAATTGTAGTTGAACAAATCACTGTTAACTCTAATTGTATAAGGAAACTCATTATTATTGTTCTAGCCTTTGTCCTTTTTATTTTATGCTACAGACAAATCGTAAAACAAAGAGTCATGTTCACAATCCATTTTTGTCGTCGAGTTGAGAGCCGATAAGGATAGCTACGTAGTTACATACAGTACTAGGGATCGTTTGAAAGGAAATAAAAATACATATATTCAATGGCAACTAATTCGAGATTTCCTGTGCCCACTCTGAATTTCCAAACAAAAACGTTATATAAGCGCGATTCAAGACCCCTCACGTCACGTGCATTGACCTTGCAAGACTTTCTGACGAAGATGTAATACCGGAATACGTGAAAAAATAAAGGGTTGCTCAAACAGTTTGTTCAGCCGTTGTCCAATAATTAAACCATATTACACGAAGTCGTCTTATATACTAACTTGTTAGTAAAAATCAAAAAACATATCAGTAATGCCACTGAACTTGACTTATGATTAGTGAATATTGTTGCACCGCCTATTCTCAATATACCCCCCAGCAGTAGCCCAGCTATTATTGCCAACCGAGGAATCGTCGAACTGAGAAAGGGTTCGGTCCGAACGAAGCAAGCAGCTTTCCTGTTTAATCATATTCTAAAATCCGATACCAATATAACAATCGTTCTTTTTTGGTACTTGTTTTTTATACCAGTTTTCCCAGTTTTGCTCACCCATGTCAATAGAATCTTTAGGATACCATTCGTTGATGTGAGCTGGGTACGAAGAATGAACAACGTGACCGCAATCACGCATAGTTTCTTTATTGTCAGTTATCCGGCGTTGACTGCGATAGTTGCATTGAGACTGTAGCCTTTCTAATCAACACTGAAGCGCGCCAACCCAAAATGTTCATCAAACGGGGCAATATAGCGTCAAGGCATTCATGTCGTTGCTGCTGCAGCCACTATAGGTATTACCAGGTAACGTAGTTGTCACTTATGGGTTTGATGGCAGATGCGGAATGATAACAAGCTCGAACTGCCGGAAAGCGAACAAGGAAGCGATTGTGATAATTGGTAAATTGTAGAAGGCCGTCGCCAGTAAAAATTGTTTGTTTTTCCCGGGCACACGATTGCGACCACAATAAATACCTGACGAATAAAACGATAGGTTCATTGAGACGAGCGCTCATTCCGGCTGTGTGTTCACCTTCGAACTTCACTTGTAAGTTCCACTGACTTATTAACGCAGTGAAATCTCAGGTGTAATATCATTGTGACAGGTAAACGACAAATCTTTGCAGCGTCGAACAAGGTTAAAGCTAAGTAAGGATGATCTAACCACAAAAATCTGGTGCTTGATTGAATCGCTATTTCGAAAGAATAGCTTGACACCTTTGTGAATATTTTATAACCTCCATTTTTGCGGCAGTCCAGGCAAGACCAATGCTACACTACGTTTAACAGCGTCTAAATCGCGGGCATTAAAATAGACATTTTGCGATCAAGTGACCGGGAATTTGTAGTCACAAAAGCTACTCTGTTGCATCCAGTGACCGCAGTTAGTTGGCAGGAAGGGGACCGTCAATTACAACTGCTCTACTAGAATCGACCGGGTAAATAATGGGGCGACGAAAAATGATAGGCGCTCTATTAATTTTGGACCACTCACTAGTTCCTAAAAGCTATAGGAGATTGTCCCTGTGTTATAGAAGAATTCTATGAGCTAGTTCCTCAGATACTGCATATACGTGCAGTTATTACATATACTATTTTAGCTGTAACATTCAGCAATAACGTAGGTGCTGCCAGCAAATGCACTGTTTCGCCAGCTGCATTGCCCAAGTCAACGAACCCGCTAATTTTCTTCGCTTGTCGGATGAATTTTCCCCCTGGTAGCCTTTATTCTGTTTGATCTTGCTACTTCGTTTAGGAAGATGCTTTTTAGCAAAAAGCTCAGGTAGATTTGACTGAACAGTCCTACGATGTTAAGAGATATTTGTCGACTAATTAAGGCGTAGCCACGTTTCTGCCAAGGAAGAAAAAAGCGAAATATGCTGTTTAACTTGAAGAAATTTTCATCCCTTAGTTCGGTATGCAGTGCGGTGCCCGTCACCATATAGCACAATACAATAAATAAACGGGTGAAACAGGGCAACGGTACTCATCTTTGCAAATCCAGGGATTGAGAGTAAACACCTTAGACACGGAATAGCCTGTTCGGAAAGATCAATTCCAGCTTCGTAATGGTGAAAACTCTACATGTTCTATTACATACGTGATATCTACTTGAAACAGCCACGTCTCGGCTGCACTAGGTACAATTACTAAAGTTCTATTAAGCGGAACCGTCAAATTAACAACGTAAGCTGTCGGCAACACTCTTCTATTAGCATCATATGCGTACTTCCACTTTAGAAATACTTGGTAATCTTTCATATTGGACTACGCGTCCATTTAGAAAACCCATAAAAGTAAAATTAGTATTTCCATTTTAAGTTCAAAGTGTATAAGTCTACCTATTTGACGAAACATTTAGTCTGCTCAATAAGTTAACTAAGATACAAGAGTCGCTAAGACTTAAGCAGAAATAGCATCTTATCCACCACATCTAATTTTGTACATTTCAAAACTTGCCCAATTGTTTTTTGTTCTACGCCTATACAGGATCACCCCTATACCTAAAAACTTTCGCTAGTTGGCGTCCATACTAGTAGCTTCTCGCTTAAGTCACTATTGAGCTCTAGTTCCCGACAAAAGCACTTCCGACTATACGAAGACGAGCATTGTTTTATCTAAATCATATTATATAGAGTTCATAACCTTATTTATGTAGTCCTTGCTAGTCAGCTTCCGTTAACTACACTACAATCTATAATACTTTTAACTAAAAGCTGAACCGAAAGCTATGTAACAGTAAGTTGAAAGTTGTGGCGAATCACAGACTCGGCGTGGTTATGTGTCTCAGCGCAGAAGTATCGAAAAGGACTCAATTAATGCTCGGAAAAGAACACAGTGAAATAAGCTGACAGTTAAAATTTGTTATTTTATTAAAGACAGAGATCACCGATCAATTTCGCTGCCATTAAGTTGAACAAAGAATTGTGGAAACAGCTAAATTTCATATCATCCATATCATGCATCTAGAGTGCACATGGCATTAGTAGATTTATACAGCACTCGGAGGATTAGGCTTGCAAGCGTATGTGCAAGCCAAGAGCGAACGTCAACGAAACTTTCTTAGCAACCTCTGAAGCGGTATCGCCTCCACTGCATGCCCTTTCGAAATATAAGCTGATAGCAATTACTTCGAAAAAACAGAGACGTGTGTTCTCGGCTGTTGTCTCTCGTAGTCACTCAGTTCTGCTAGCGGTGCAATAATGCTCATTTGACAAAAATTTTAACTAAAAAACCGTACTCTAACACATTCGTGTTGTGAATGCAAGTATTTTACTGTGATTGCTCTTCCTTTTATCGTCTTTGACTGAACTGGATGTTTTCTTACCATTAAATCGTCATAATAATATCGCCAGTGTTATATTACTGTGATAGCTGGCTACCGCTGATTTTTCGTAGTTCGTTAATTACTAGCGCATCCCACTGAGTGCATATTAAGCAGACATAATATATATATATATATATATATATATATTTATTTTTATTTATATCTATCATTGTTCAATCGTTACCTAATTAACCTACTTATATATACCCTATATTTTTTATTTATAGCTCGTTACGCTTCTAGTTTGCTCTGTAATGCATATCTGTATCTATAAATATATATCTATATGTATGTGAAAGGTATGTACAGGAGAGCGCCGTTTTCTAGTAAGCCACCCGTTTGTCGTTAACTCTGTTTCGTCTGCTCGTCGTCTTCATCCTCAACATGAATATCCTGAACGATATCAGTGAATGAATCCTTGATAGCATGAATCTTCGCACCCAAACTTTCTCGAGCATCATCTCCTGATCCTCTCGAGCGTTTGCTGGGTGGCTGGTCATTATCCAGATTCTTTTGCTGATTAATAACAGCCGCGAAACTTTTTCGAACATCGCTTAGGCCGTCGCTGTTCGAGGTTTTTCGTTTAAGATGTTGTTGGTTCGCATCATCGCCAGCACGTTCTAATTGCTCGCGTAACTGCTTTTCGATTTCTGCTCGCCGGTCAGTGAAGCCTCGGTTTGTCTTGCCGTAACTGTTTGGACCAGCCGATGTGGGCGTATGCTTGCCAATATTACGCATTCGAATTCTAGCTTCTGCCGGCATCTCTTCAGGTTCACTTTCATCGCTGTCATTGAAGACCGACGCAACTGTATGTGTTTTAGATTTCGCAGTCGTGCTCAGTGACGCGGCAGGCGTCTCCTGCTTCTTTGCGGTCAAGCTGATTTTAATGTTGGATTTGAAACCTGACATATTTATTGGGGTTGTTGTGTTTATTCGGTTGAAACGGAGCGAACTCTACTACCAGCTGAATTTGTGATAGTTAGCGAGCAGATAGGTTCTAAGAAAACACAAAGTTTCTTCTGTTCCACGATAGCGACCTCAGAAGCTCTGACACATTAACTTAGAACGTCCAGTTGGTTGTTCTCCCTTGGCCATACGTCAAAATTTTCTGGGAAACTATTAGGCAGCTTCTATTCAGGAGCTGCTGGCACTTACAAACGGACGTCATTAACTCCTGAAGAATCGAAATGAAATTATCGATAACATTTACAGTTTCCTAGACGACGCGTCAAACAGATACACAAAATTCCGACATTATTATTACTACAATGAATGAATAACGACTTGCTGACGTCTGTCAGTGCCCTTAGCGTTCGATATGGTTCAGTGGCTAGTGCTGCTTTTGTGAGCAAGACAAATGTGTCGGTCTTGAGATTGATCGTATCTTCCATGAGACGATTACGTAGAGTCTGTCCTTAAAATGTAGTTCCAACAAAATCATAGGCCTATGCAAGCGTTCTCTTTCCACTCACAGAAACAAACAAACGACAAATTTTCAGGAAAAAATTTACTCAGCAGCATACCAGTGGCATCTAATGGAGACGGCTGGGTCTGGGGGTAATGTTTGGCAATATGTTGTGGTGCTTCGTTGTTGTCGTTGTTGGCTATTTACAAACACTGCCAAAGCAATTTTAGGTCGCTATGGTAGCAGACGATAGCCCGCGAACTTTTGAATTGGCCCAAAGAGTGCGCAGCTCAGTCCATTGCTAATCTCCTAAACTAGGCGATTAGCAATATAGCTAATTATTTGTTCAATTAACTTATGCTCAGTTATAGTAATTAGTAAGGATAGCAAGAAACGCCGAGCATGCAAGGATACCTGAAATAATTAAGTCTTATGTCTTATGAAGAGCTATGCTGGAGGGACACGCCTTTGAATATCAAAAACTCGTTGCGATACATTGGATGCTCACGCAAACATAAAACGAAGACTTCAACCGTGCCGCTCAAAGGAACGCTTGACGACAGTGTCGGACGTTAAGCTCAAAACATTTACTTAAACGCCTCAACCGTATTCAAATATGTATGCCTTGAGCTCACGCGCAATGATAAGAACAAGTACGCATTTTTGCTTAGTTTTATTAGATACAACCTTATGGGCGCCCCGAAAACACAAAAGTAGAGGAGACATTACGAATTCTTAGATGCGATAGAACGAAAGATTTCATTCGAGTCATCGCGATGGCTTCCTAAAGGATCTGTAAAAGTGTTCGACGAGACTGCAAATACGCAATGCTGCGCACATTGAACGGGCAGTCTACTTTGCCTCAAGGAATCAACAAAGAAGATATATTTCGACTTCGTTCTCTCAAGTCTGTAAACCATGAGAAAGAAACCCGGGCAACGGTTGTATATGCAAGCTTGATTTGTATATTCAGCAGTAAAATTGAAAAACTCTCATAACATTTGAGAGCAACGATATCAGAAATCCACATAGTTTCTATTTTGTCCCTGTCGACGATGCAGAATTGTAATCGCAGTCAAAATAGTAGAGATGGCTACAATTAGACAATTTGCATTTGACTTCTGTGGGAATTGAATAACTTTAACGCCTAAACCCATTGCTTCAAACAGCTAAGTTATCCTTTTTAAGAAATTTAGAGTGTTACGTTCGCTTAAACCGGCTTGCCGTGTTGATCTTTCAGCAAGTAAACTGATTGGGCCATTCATATATATATCCATTACATTGATACGGAAGACTGTTGTGGCCTACTACAAACACGGGTAGATCGTATATTTAGTTAATAGAACAACTATGAGTGTTCGGATTGGGATATGGGGATTACTTGCACCAACCCGATATTTTTACTTATAACCATATATCATTTTATTGTAGAAGCCGTTAATCGTAATCATTCAATTCTCATACAATTCAATACTCCGGATGCCTAGATATGCATAGATGTTAGTCTGTGTTTGACATGAATTCGAAACTTAAAAGGGGATCATAAGCCGTTGGTGTAAAATTCGAAAGTGAAATAAGATAAAGAGGATTTAAAGCAAATCAAAAAGGCAACAGATATATTCTGAACATTTTCTCATATATTCCAGATATTATATGTCTCAGATACAACTTCACGATGCTGGCTAGGTGGCTTTGAATGATAGCTTCGCCTCTGTAGAGCTAACGAATCTTGCTAGCTGTCGACGACAAATGTTAAACTTTGCTTCATAAGTTCGTGGTGAAAATTTATAGTTCTTTTCAAACATGTATATTTGTTGTATTAGGTATATAGTACACTTGATACCAGCTAATGCAAAGATGATATATTTATTTGCAATAAGTTGAAGCCTTTGAAATGGCTATCAAAGCAAAGAGTTCTTAGAAACGCAACATATCTACTATGCAAGCATTCCGCAAGCAGTCTTCTTTTAAAAGTTGCGTGTAGAACGACTGTATATATTCAGAGAAGATACCGTTGGGTGCCGTGTCTTTTAATATTGTGCGATCCCCACAGCTTCTCGTATCACTCATTTTCAAAATTCGGATAGCTGTGGTCGTTCTAAATGGTTGTCATAGGATGAACTCGGCGGTGCGCGCTACAATAGAAAGAACTCAATTTTACTGTTATTCTTTGCAGTATATAAGTAATATTTGCGGGCTGGGTCTTAGAAAACCGCCATAATTCTTTCAACACAGGTACATTAAACGTATTGCTTAAAGTGAAAATAAATTATTGAAAAATACCGACAGGATCCATTTTAATAGCAAGTACATTATCGGTATTCGTATTATTGCATACGAATGCAGTTTGTACCATTAATGTTGGCCAAACCGAACCAGCATCCATGTACGTAATGGCCGCCTGCCCTAGGGGTCACCTTGATGCTCCAAAGGACGACAGACCTATTCATCATCGTTTAAAAGTTAAGAACCTGATCTACCTTTTTACATGCAGGTTTAGATTAACCACGATAAAATTAACGTATAAGTGTGTAATTAATCTTATCAATATTAGTTCTCGGTTATAAAAACCTGTAAAAAGGTATATAAATTTTGAGTGAATTTTAGCTTATCCACACGTGATCGTTCTGTTAGCAGGAAATTTGAAATTGAGCGGCGCTTGCATTTTAAAGAAAAGTTTTAGTTGATGGCATCGATATGATGTGGGAAATTAGCCCCTCGTGTGGATAGACACAGTTTGACCTATTTTTGATTTGCTATAGGTGCATAAACCATTAGAATAAAATGGATATACTATAGATTTTCATGTTATCACGATATGCAAATCATAGAGGTGACAAAAACCACTGTCCCTTTCGACTGTGAATGAATACACCATGCACACAATGATACGCACAAATGAAAGTATAAAAATACGTCCCGTACATGGCACACATCAACACGTACTTGTGTCTTTTCTAAATGTGTATCTAAATATACTTATACACAGTCATCTATTTTCAATTGACAGAATCAACGATTACGTACGTCGTTGACAATGTGGCGACAGAATACGGGCTTCGATGACGCCGTCCGCCTGTCTTGCATGTAATTTTGTTGCTGTTATTTCTGTGGTTGTTGTCGTCGCTGCCGCAGCCGTCGCTGTTGGCAATGAAGTGCGCTGACCTTGATGCAGCCAAGGGACGTTTCCAAGGACGGACAAAGTAAACAGACACGTCACCAACAGCCGTCGCATCAGCAGATCTTGCTGTCTACAATAGACATCGACAGCCCCTTAATATCCCCATAGAATCGTAAACTACCAGCGCGGCTGCACGAAACGTGCGCATGCTAATGTTCGACACCAACTACAACCGTGTCGCCGCTGTAACAACTACGACTACAAAGATGGCAGCGGCAACAACCACAACCGTAATGACACCTGTGGCAGGTAGATAAACATTTTTTCGATTCCCTCATCTTTGCACTAAAGGTATTAATAGCAATACAGCAGTTTAATGTGACGGCGGCGGCGGCAGCAGCGACGTGATAAGTAGCATCGAAAACTATCTTTATCACTAACGCTTATCAGCTCATTGGGTCGAAACGGTTCGCAACTTTGCAGTCGAGAAAAGAATCGTTTGAAAAAATATTGTGAGACGCTCTAGCACCAGTGCGAAGTGGAGTGAGAGTTTGAAACCGAGGGTGAAGATCGCGACGCAAATTGGAAGGAAGAGAGTTAGATACAGAATATGTACGCCCGAACAGTACGCGTTCATCTCAATAGCAGACGCTGATAAGGATGCCAGCCGAAGCGAGGCAAAGGGGTGTAGGGGCAAGACCTATGTAACTTTCGAATGACGACGTATAATTTATGCTCAGTCGACGGCAGCAGAAGAGTTAACTGTGATTGTGGCCACAGCAAAATAAAATGACCAAGCAGAAAACTTCGTACATTTCCTACGTAAACTGTTATTGCGATGTCTGTCGATGTGACTGGCACACTTGTCGGGGTTGATTAATTGTAGGGAAAAACAAAGTAGCAATAGATACTTCGAATGGTAAAATCGATCCGTGTCATTCGCACCCAGAACCTACTTCTAATGCGAATTAAATATGAACCATGCTTCGACAGCATGCTAGAATATATAAGTCCAATTGCTGAACAAACAATATTCAGGATATATCAGGAACTATATTTCCCACAGAAGATAATTTTGATATTAAGCTTAGTTGACTACCAGTGAGAAGCTGGTGGCTTGTCTGGCGTTGATTTTATGAAGACCTTTTAACCAAGTACAGGCCCTGATTGTGAGTATTAACTAAACGGATTTCCTACACGATAGACGAGACAGCACAAGCTGGTTTGTAAACAACGGAACTGATATGGAACATTTCAATTAATACGGCGTTATCAACCATTCATCTGCAGTGAACCTTAACGGTGCACTTCATAAAGTTGCTTAATTATTTCTATCTTAGAATCAATTAACTTTTATTCGCATCAATTCAAGCTGTACAAATACTATACCGTGATAAGATCCAATACATAATGAATAAATACAAGATTACTAGCCTAGTTTGATAGCAGCGTGTAGCATCGAACACGAGATGCAGCCGCAATCAACGACACACAGTGTTATCTAATAGCAATATACCCGCCTGCCTCTAACAACAACGACTTCTCGATGGCATTAGCTTGATGCTGTAATTGAAATTGCTATTGTCGTTGCTGTTAGCAATACTAATAAATAATTAATGATGAAACTAAACCAAGCGATAGGAACTCCGGCTTTGGCAAAGGGCGACGCTCCGTTTGTCAGCCGCTTTCACCGTTATATTTGTTTTGCAAACATTAAAAACAATAATAATGTGTCCTTCGAGGCAAAACTAGACACGTTAGAATCACAACCAGACGGCTGAGCCACGATGGTTTAGTCGGTTTCCCACGCGGCCGGCACAGTAATAACTTAGACGGTAAAATTTCGAATCTAACAGATTCGTCTATCGTAGTACTTTATTGTTTTTAACGAGTGGCATGTTTCTCAATGTACAGTTTAGTTGCCAGCGTTGGAGTGACAGATTTGTAGAGGACGGCAAGCAAACAGCAGACGAGACATTGCTACAATATAACATAGGACCGTATGGTGCACTAGTACTTCCATCGTTGGTACCGTCGTTCCTTGTCGCCGCTACCTCAATCGATTAGTGTACTTATTTAATATATAATCATGTGTGTATGTATGTAAGGGTCCAAATGGCAGGTATGTAAGTACGTTGTGGAGATACAACAAAAATGCTATCGCGTTTGGTTCTAAGAATAATTGACTTCTTGTTGGGTCTCATTGCAACGACCCCACTATTTATGGCTGGCTGTTTGCACCGCTATTTAGTGGATATTATTATATGTTTGTAGGTTTATAGGTATAAAAATGTTTACAGATGTTTACAGATTTATAGGTATACGTGTTTTTCTGGCACGTACATAACTCGTTTCGCAAGCTTCGCCTTCGTATTTTTGTTTGTTTGTAAAGCGCAGTTTTCTCAAAGAGGGATCATGGGACCTTTGTTAATTTACAATTAAATTAAGTTATCAGAAAAAAAAAACAATAGGTTCACGAAATTGTTTTGCTTTACATTGGAGCAAATATTCCGTTCTTCGTTACCAGTCTGACATTGGCTGCAACCTAGAAAGCCCTTCGTTACAGCCAATTCAGTTGCCTGGAAAGTGAATACATTCCGTTCTGAAAATAGATGATCACGAAGTAGTAGCTGAATGACAATTTCATACGCAGTACTCTGGACCAGCCTTATGATCCATCGTGGACGCGCTGAGCCAATCACCGTAGCGTATTACGTGCGGATCATTGAAACTTTATGGACATCATTATGCCTTTGTTCGTACTCAATTTTGAAATTATACATGTTTAATATAAATGGGTATAGAAAGCAAAGCATCTTCAAATAATAACTGACACCAAACACTACTCATTACTATTTTCGAAGTAGTCAAACTTATAACAGACAAGCTGATATTTTCGTGGGGCAGGAGCTGGAGACTGCGTCATATGTAAGTAGGATATTGACAGGTCGGCCTGCTACCGGCTCAATTTCGAAACTTTCGTTGATCGCGGTGGGAATAAACTAGTGCTCGCTTGATTCTTGTTATTCTAGGGGAAAAGGGAAACATGTCGGCGGGCATCGCACAGTAACATCTAACGTCGAATGTAAGTCATCGACTCTTCTGGGCTCTCTGCATCAATGGGCCGCCATTGTCATAAGTCCTCCTATATATTCAAGCACCATTTCGAGCCCAAGTAAAAAAGCTGTTTCCATCTACATCCTCGTACCATTAGCAAGCCGACAAAATCATTAAAAGAAACAGGGCAGACAATTTGCGATCCCCTTCTTACTAGATGTAATGTAATTTATGTTTTTTTTTTTCTAAAACACATTGCTCAGCTGCGGCAACCGATTAAGAAAAAGATCATAGGGATTACGTGTCGACAATGACGAATGTAGGTCAAAAAATTCTGCACTTACATTAAATGCGTATGCGCTGCCAGTGAGCACCCTCGTATCCAAAAATAGTCTTATGCTTTTTTCCATGAAAAAACTAATTAGACTCAAATAGCTCGGCCGCATTTGCTCTACTTTTTCAGAAAGAGCGGATTCAGTCCGCTTTCTGATGAACAGTACTTTTCAAATTGATCGGACAGCAAGACGACTTCGTGAAGTGCCTTCGAGAAATGATTAGTCGATGACTTGTTGCAGAAGCATCAGCCATATCTGGATTATCTACCTGTTCGTGAAGAACAGGCTCTCCTCATCAGCAGTTTATTAAGACTTTAATTAATGCTAACTGCACGTGGCATCCGTTGACATTATAATTTTGCAGAGAAATTATTCTTAGATACAAAACGACCTCTGCTCGAGTTACATCCATGTCCATAAGTATCACTATCTCAGCTTCTTACTGCACCTTCTTTTATTAGCTGTATGATAATCATACCGGTAGAGATTTCTGAATCAAAACCTTTTAGGTACCCGGTATACCATAAACTCATGTGACAACTAATTTCTTTTTCTAGCAACCTTCAATTTGAGGATTTTTGTGAAGAGGGAACAACTTAGTGTGTTATGCTAAATTTTCAAAAAATGCTAAACTGTGACGGAATTCGCGGCAGTGTCACTGTACTAAAAGAACTCAAGCTACAAGCCGCCAGTAGCGCTGCCATCGAGTGTACCGAATGCGGATCTTGTTATCGTTGCGGTGGCAAATTTCATCAAAAGACGGACTATATATGGCTATAGAGGTTGCCTCAATGTTTAATAGTTACAGTTATCTTGAAAAAAAAATAGCACAGATGATTATTTTCATTGTGAGTGCGATCCATATGGTAGAATAGGTATGCATTTATGGAAAAAGAACAGCTAGTCGAAATTATACAACCGATGTCAATCAACAACCGTGACTATAGCAGCGATCCGATCGCGAGCCACGTTTATAACGACTGTTGTTGCCAGTCGTGGAAATGCTTAGTCAGTTAGTGGCAGCGTAACGACGCCTGCGTCACCAACAGCAATAGTATAACAGGTTTGTCCATAACTTCACCATGTTCTTGACTTCGCACCCTCTGACGTTTCGTTTTATCGTGGTTTCGTATTTTTAATTTCAACCTGTGACAATTTCGCGCTTCAACTCCAACATGACAATAGCGACTTTCTACTATTCTGAGAGCTTTAGAACGTTATAACAAAATGGAAGTAGTGTTCCCACATGAAGTGTTCCTGCTGTTGCAGTTATAGCAGTCAGTCAGGGAAATTGGTTTATCCTCATGTTTCCGGATTGGCTGTCAGTTTTTTTTTCTTTCCCTGTTTTGGGTTTTGCCTGTTACTTTCCCAACGCTCTTCTTCAGCGTTTGTACATTTATACGTTAATAGCTGCTTTGCTAGAAATTATTCCTCATATCGCTAGTATTGCCCAAATTGACAATTTTATCTAAGATAAAATTGACTGTACCGAAACTTTTCACCACTTGGCGAAATCCGTTTAGATCGATAAGCACCAATTGAGATCCCCATGGTCCACCGCAACCACTGACCAAAATGCACTGCTCGCCTAAGCCAAACAATACGCCTGCAACACGTCAGACAGCTAGCCGTTCCTGTACGCAACGAAGTGTGAACTCAGACTAGCGCGCACTGCTGAGTTAGCAGGCAAAATTGTTACCATTGCATTATCACCAGGGCGATTTAGTCGAGATTAGACAGCCTTTTCTGCGCGTTGAATGAAAAACGATGCATTGGCAGAACGTATCCTTCGCTCGTCCATAAGAGGTCCTTCAAGAACCGTATTTTGTAGACACTTGACTTCTTCTATCAAGCCAATGATCGGGATATTGTAATTGATAACTAAAGAATTGTAAAGGCGATATCACAGTCTACAGTTTCTTATAGTTTTGCATCTAATTGCAAGAATTATTCATCGCCGTGCCCACTCTGTACTTCGGTTCCTCCAAATGATTTCATATAACAAGTACTAACCCTTCTATACGAACTGATGAGGTACGATATCAAAGCACACGGAACGTATATCAGACAATGAGCACAAACCTTGTTTGCTACTAGAAGCTAAGAACAAATAGGTCAAAAACAGAATAATAATATCATGTAAAATTTTAAAATTACTATAAATAGCCGTTTTCTGTATAGACAGAGACGTGAAAGTGGATTCGTTTCGTATTTACTTCTACGCACCTACAACAATACTTTTTCAGCCAGGTTAAAGGTAAGGTCTTGACGCCCGAACGAACCTGCGAGTAAGTCAAAAACAACCGGAAGGTATTGTCATGCCACGTTTGTATGGCCGCTTTAATAGCGTTAACGTTAATAGCGACACAGCAGTTCAGGAACTGCTGTGTCGCTATTAACGTCCAAATAAGTCAATACAGGCGGTCGGTGTCATTCGTCTTCTTCATTCTTTTGTACTCGTCCGGTAGCTGACATTAAAGTTATCGACGATGGTTTCGGCGGGTCAATGAGTTAGATTTCTACTAATTCGAACTAGTCACACGCTCCATGTCCAGACTCCAAGCGGGTGTTTGGTGCAATTTAATGCTGATGCCGCTAGAAACGGCATCAATGTCAGTAGTCGACCGCAGGAGATTTTCAGATATTTTTTTAATTCGTTATCGTATCCGGTGGTACGACGAAGTGACAAGGGTCCATCGACCGATCGACTTCAGCGGACCGCCTGGAGTGTTATTATGTAATAGATTACGAAAAGCTGTCCTAGTATTGCTGCAGGCACTCTGTGCTAGTGCCTGTTAGGTCGGAGCAGCAGCGTTCGGGATAGCAAACGCAAGCATGTACAAGGTCATTCTAGAGGCATCTCGACGAAAGGATAGACTCACTAGAAAGCAATTTAGAAATCATTTCGAATGAAAAAAAATTTTTTTAACCAGATAATGTTCGCATATCTGAAGGTGATCATCACCGATGATAATGTAGGTGCGCATTTGTATAAACGAATCACTTTCCTTTTTTCCGCGTTTTTCTGCGTCCTTTTAAAATGTTTTTTTCAGCCAACAAATGCTGCATTGCATAAACTAGATCATCATCATGTACGAAATAGTGAGATAGTTTTTTTGCGAAATACACAGCTTCTGCATTGTAAAAATTAAGTGCTATATGTACGGTTGTTATGCGACCGTTTTTTGGACCGTGTGGAACGATTATTTTTGTAAAGGGTCCTTTCAGTCGTATGCTGCTCGCCTGTAATAAAAGGTAACCAATTACTTTTTTGGAAAGGTTACAATATGAATTTGATAAAAATGCTTCTTATAAAGACCTATTCATTGTTAGGTAACTGCACAAATTGTATCAGATGTGCATCAGTTTTCATTAGCACAGATTGACCACTCGGCTAAAATTGCCTACGGAATGCAAGGCGTAGATTAATAAACGTGATAAATTCTTGAAAACAAAAAAAAGAGAAAATATATTTTAAAGCCTCTCGTCGATATGTGGTATGGGGTAGTATAACAGTTACTCTAAGTAATTTGGAAGCATTAACTCTGAAGTTGTTTTATTCGTATTCTAGCCAGATAAAGGGGATGTCCAACCACTTGGGCTTTGAGCGTCATTCAACTGATCGACGTTGGTATTCAATTATTAATTGCGAAGAATGCATATCGTTCCATATTTGTATGCACGCAGTGATCACCTTATGATTACTTATTATTATTGTCACTTCATCAAGCGCGTACGCAGAGAAAAACGTAACAATTGGAGATCTTGCTTGCAGCAATGTACCTACACCTTTGTGATCCGAACATGGGCGAAAGGCGTCGTGGTGCGTGAAACTGTGAAATACGGTAACCTTTCACAGGCTACTGACCCAACGAGTGGCCAACGATGGTAACCAAACGATCGTGGAAGTGATCAATAAATAACTAGACCTTCGTTTTCGCTTGAGTGGCAAAGTAACGGCAGAGGTAGCACTCAACAGCACACCCGTTGCCCATCCACCAACGGGTGCCTGATTGATTGATTGATATGACCGAAGAGATGGCTTTCTGAGCTTTGATACGCACTGGAGGTGGCTGTACCATCTTAATCTCTACCTGATGCTATTGACGTTGGCGTTATCATGCTATGCCCATGTGCCAAAACTGTTTCGCAGCCAGTAGTAGTACCCAAATGTTAAACAAAAGAAAAAAACGGCCATTCATCCCCTTTAACTTTCCTTTGTCCATAGGCTGCCACGCGTCTAAATCTATAAATCTCCTGATATATTCTTCAATGCACATCAATGGTTTTCACTTACGGCATGCGTCTTTACGATGCTACTACGGAATTTACTGCAGCAGGCACTTTAATTAAAAGACTTTACTTGACAGCGGTCGACAGCCACATTTTTCTCGTAGTTGTTGTTAAGGCTTTTTCATCACCTCAGCTCTATTGTTATCATATTTGTTGTTGAACAACAAGCACTGAAAATTGGGAGGGGGCCAGGGGCAGGCATGGGTTATAAACAAATAGTCTCATATGGGGCAAACTTCTGACAAGACGATTTCGGCTTCTCAGTTCTTCGCTACTGCTGATTTTTGTACTTCGTTTTTTTTTTTGGCCAGCGCAACAACCTCAGGCCGCGAAACATAAGGTCAGGCCTGCGGTCAATCGGCTATTATTGAGATCATTGTGATAATGCTTGACGATTCCTTACCGTAAAATGATTGTGATTATTATTGTTGTTTCAACGGTTGCTGCTGTTACTACCCCACTATAAATGGTAAAAGTAATCACATAGAAGTTGTTCCGTTTGTTTTGGTGGCCTTGAACCCTTATATACGGGGGGATTATCTAGACAGAATCGACTTCAGACAAGTACATACATAGATATGATATAGCTATAGCATCGTTACAGACGATGACAGCCACAACAGTATCAGCGGCAGTAATCCGCAATGACATCTGGGTATTCACGGTTACAAATTGATAATGGTGCATCGGAGCTAGGAAAACGAGGCACGCATTCAGTCGTCGTTTTGCTGTTACTGATCATGGTGCCGCAGCCGCCGTTGTTTTGATCGTAGTCGTCTGCTACTTGAGATAAACAGCGTTTCGATATCTATCTGTTATACCCCGGGGCCTGTCACAACTGCTGGTAAATGGTCGGTCGGCGAATAACAAAGTACCCGTACAACAGGTCGATCGAACGCATATACAACTGTAGCTAACAATGATGCCCCATAGTATATAATGCGATCGTTGAAATGATTTCACAGAACAGCCTGTTCCGAACGTCGTCGCTCATTCACCACGTACAGTCGCTAATAGAAGGAATCAGTCATTCGGAATTGGGCTGCTGAAACCATGCGACAGAGGAGTGACTACAGAATGCAGTAATCGTTCTATTACCACCAGCCGATAGACAGGTAATTATAAAAAGAGCAAATAGTAACAGAGGCACAGGAAAATGAACAACTTCAATGCGATACAGAATTGTGTTTACGTGTGTGTAGGTGTGTGTGTGTGTGTGTGTGTGAATATGTATCTGTGTGTGTGTGTGTACTTTCATGAAAGCGACCAACACGATTTGGTTGCGTCTGCTAGCCCCTTATTGCTTCAATCTGCTGTATCGATGAGTATCTTTTACCAGCCTGGTCTGGGATCCTAGGATAACTGTACCGCATCACTCAGGGGCACCACGTGAAGCCAAAAACATTTTGTAGAACGAAAAACAACCACTGCACAAATAGCAGGGGCAGCGACTATGGCACTACTGGTAGTATCAGCTACATTTTATAGTTACCATCCGCGGAGAACAGCCTTTAACTTTCCTCTTGGCATTGGCACCAATTCATCTGTATTGTGCCCTCTTCTTACTCTCATCCCCCTCCCATCCCCCGTGTCTAGTACCTTAAGATGAGCTAGCCAATTTTCCTCGGTCGTCGGTTGTCGACATAGTCATAAAAATTGATTCTGCGTTAAAGAAATTTCGTCGAGGTACATATTTTATATGCGTAGCACCACAAAACAGGTTTCATATAAGAACAACAAGACCGACACGAATTGCTACAAGAAGCCCTAGCTGGGCAAAGCTAGCAGCAGCAGGGATGACATAAAACATAACATGGGCCAAGCAACGATAATAATATTATGTTCTGTCCATTTTGAAATATAATAAGTGTAAGCAAGTGTGTTCATGTAACTGCGGGTGAACGTGTGCGCGTATGTATATGGGAGAGTTTGCATACAAAATGTTTTCAATTTTCCTTGAGCTATCGACCAGCTGGTCTTCTCCATGGATTGATAGCTTTTTGTGGTTCCGTCACTGTATGTCTTTGTGGGACTTTTCTTTCCAATTGAACACATGGCGCATCCGTGTCCTTCAAAGGTAACAAAAGTTTAATTCCGTGACCGCTGTTCATATTGAGCACAGCTGCTTACCTGACACATGACGAAGCCGTATGCTACTGTTACTGCTGTAATTGCCTTATTCGGTAGTTCGTAAAGTGAATTTGGTGGCGCTATTATATACTGCAGCGTTATTAACTATATATATATATACAGTTGGAGCGAATTCCACAACGACACCCCGCCAGCTTCATCGAGCTTTAATATAACAGTAAACCCAAAAAGCGAAGAGAAGCTTCCAATAGCAGTAGCAGCAGCAGCAGCAGCATTCGTCACGTCTACATTGGTCTACGTTCAGACAGTAACGGGAGAAGAAAGAAGAGATTGAAGAGGCAATGCATCTTGAAGTACGACAGCGCTGAAAGGCAGCTGAACCTCTGGCCTGCTCAGTCAGTCAGTCAGTCAGTCAGTCAGTGAGTTTTACGTTAGTAACAACAAAAATAATATATTTACCAGGTTTATATCGAATTATTAACTATAAATGCGTACGTATGTTCTTTTTAATCATGTAAGATAGGCCATATGAGTTGTCCTTTTCGTTTCAATACATAAACGGCTACTTGTCTGTCTGTCTGCCTGTAGTGACATGAGTGTTCTGGCAACAATTGTGGCAGTGATCAGTTAGAAAGTGAAAAAAGAGACAATTTCTTGCCGTGGCAATATTCGCAACGACACCGGTAGGTAGCGACTATAGCACAACGGGAAAAACCACGAACGAGATCAAAGATGGACGACGAAAGCTTTGTTTCATTTATGTGTCTAAAGCATTATAGCTGTTCGTACGAGTGAGGTGAGATTAAAGCAATTCGGTATCGAGATTATAGTTGGTGTGCCACATCAAAGACTCTTCGTTGCATTTCCTTTCTGGTCCGTTCTTCCGTACCGTTATCTAGGTAGACAAAGATAGCAGCTCTTAACACGAGTCAAATGTTAGAAGAGCCGAATTGGAATGTACGTCATTTCTTTACGGTGACATCACATAGCTGGACGGCTGATTGTCTGTTTGCTGACGATGCTTAAATCGTCGAACGAGACGCTGACAACGACAACAGTAACGAAAAACTGATGGTGATCTTGCTGTGGCTGAAGCCAGATCTATATGATAACGATTTTCAGATAGCGAGAAGAGTGTTCGAAGGGTGGAAGGAGAAAAACTGTACTAAACCGTATTGTAACGGTCAATAGCGACTGGTGGTCAGCGATCGGTCGTTTCTAGCCGAGAAGTGGCTTTGCATAGTGATCATGTTAGCTTCGCACAGAACGTCTCTACATGCACTGAAAGGGTGCGACCCACAGAGCGCAAGCCCAGTGACTGAAAACGATTGTCTAGCCGGCTCGCTGCCTGCATGGTTGACCGTTTCATACGTGGCAATTCCTGCGTCGTTTGTCTACTAGTCAGCTAGCTCCCAAGATACCATACAGATAGATGGTAGATATGCTATACTATAATATGATATATACATATATATATATATATTAAGTCGCAAAATCATTTGCTCGACGCTTGTAGGTGAAAGTAATTTTTTGTCGTTTTTCGTTCTTTTTTCCTTTTATTGTAGAATTTTGCCTCTCTTCAGGTTCGAACGACAGCCACGTCGTGATAATCGGTAGTGACCATCGCTTGCGGACAGTACACCATCCACCGATGACGCCTATAAGGAGAGTAATATAATAGAAAACCAAAAAGTTGTAAAGAAGATGAAAGCTCAATGAATGATGAGAACCCAATGGAAACTATCGAATCGTTAGAGTAAAAGTAACTAAATGAAACGTAAGAGGAGCTGATGAGTGAAGAGGACGAACGCGCACGCGATAGAAAAAACGGTTGATATTCCGTTCGTCTACATTTCGTAGATGTTAAAGCTAAAGCGTGGTCTTCAGCGCGTACTTCGTTGCAATCCGTAGTAGTCATCAGTTGCCTAGACGTCGATGGAGCGTCACAGCCAGCAAAGAAACGAGGGAATTGTGAAGGAGATATATATTGAGTGAAGGAATCGCAACAGCAGTCACGTACTAACAATACGTCGCCTGTGGGCAATGCGAGTATTTGGCCGAGCGGTTCCGTTATATGAATGTGGTAACAGCGGTAAGCTTACCACTATCCCCATCGCTTTTTTCATTCAATCTATTATGGACGCTCACATGGATACTATTATACTGCTGCGTTCATGTGCGGATGCCGATGTCATGTTTATACCAGTGCGTCAGCAGGACCAAACTACGATGATATAACGATTCGATCCGTTATGATCTTGTCGGGCCGTTTCTACAAAAAAGCCGCAGAATGACGCATCCATAACTCTGTCTAGTAACACTACTATGAATAAAATACTTCTCTTTTTTTTTTTTTTTTTTTGTAAAACTATGAATATAATATGAAAAATATGAAAAACTGACGTTGTACACCCTTCTGGGCCTTTTATCGAAGGATCGTTCGATAGGGTATTCTCTCCCTATTCGCCCCATGTGGTCGTACTAAAACCAGGTAATATATGTCTGTGTATCTTCATTGGCAGTCACATATTTGCTTTGTCGAGGCGTATTACATTGCTGGACCCATTGAGCAAGCGCTCATTACGAGGATGGACACATTGTAATATGTGATGCTTACTGAATGCATGCAGTAGAATGTCTATGGTACAAGCGATCGCAGGTTTTTGAGGACAGTTAAAAACCTAACATGGAATCATCTGTCGTAAGCTGTCAACTAAATTGTTTATAATTTAGGTAAACACGGGCTTGTTAGCGATAGCTATGTGAAAGCTCAAATTTTAACTCAATTTTAATTAAGTTGGAAATAAGAATTTCCGTTTATATACATGATTAATTAACCGCGCGTATGGCTTCGACTCATCATAAGGAGAAGTAGCCGAAAACCTTAGCCATAAGTTACGCGTATCTTTGTAATCTCCACAACCTGTTGGGATTCACATACCCTTTAACATGCTGCAGTCCGTTCTGCTGCATTCGACTGCATCTGGCGACCTTTCATATTCAACGAATTGTTGTTCACTCTGTCAGCATGTAGCGCATCCAACAATATACAGCAATAAAGTAATGGATTAGCCCGCGCGTTGCCCTAGAACTATTCATCTCGCACCAACACGTCACTTCTACGTTAGACGTGCGTAGGTTTAGCAATTGAATCCAGTCAATTTACCTCATATAGTAACATAATACATGCGCTCTGCTTATAATTATAAGCGTATTGATATTATGTCCATCTGAAATCATTCAGCTCCGATAAATACAGTCGACATTGTTGATAACACTGGGTACACGACAGAAGAGGCGGCTTCGTTCCTATATACTACTTAAGATGGTGACTAATACTTGTTGTCCACGAAAGGCTTTCCTACTTCATAAACAAATAACGATGATACGATTTACGCTGTGCATTTTACGCACAGCTCGAAAGTAAATACGAAGAATATGTTAGTCATCGCTTGTTGATTACTGTAGGAAGAGGTAAAGATTTTTTCTGCATGCTATCTCCTATTTCTCCCCTGCCTACTCCCTGAAAACTCGTTGATGATTGGCAAAAAACATACTAAGCTTCCTTGACATCCGTCAGTGAGTGGGTCATGCAGTCATTTTTTCTTTCTTCATTTTTAAATGAGCCGGTCTGTCCGTTTGCCAGTCAACCTTCCTATACGCAATTGTTTTCTAGCGATGACGCTTAGGAATCGTCAGTATTATAGCTATCCATCGACGCCGTTACTGTTCTTAGGCTTCCGGGCTTGTTGTGCAGAGTTTACGGTTTGAACATGTAGACGGGCAGGACATAGTTCTTAGCCTTTTGCCGCCAACAGAAGGCCGTATATAGAAAAGAATAACAGGATTCCTATTGTATGAACATTTATCCATCAATATGTAATCAGACATCGGACGGCTATATTGAATAGCCAAAAACACTGTCCTCATCACAATAATGATGACGCCAGCATCGATAATGAACTGACAGAGAGTGAAATGCCAGTCAAACCACAGAGACATCACAGAATTGTTTTTGTACAATTTTTTGCTTTATTAAACGCTCCCTTATATAGGTACAAATGATGCCAGTGATGGCGGCGATATGAACGTAGTGATTCCCGCTTATGTATGTGAGTATATCTATTTTAATGTGTGTATAGAAATGCTGCGTGTTTTGTGCTGTTTGTGAGTTTTACACTCGCCCATTCAGACGAAGCATGGGGCAAAAGTGCTCGTTGACATCATGGTAGCGCTAGGTTTATTTGGCATGATTCGTAAAAGGAAAACAACCCTATTTACCGTTTAAACAACAATAAACACCCTAACTGCTTAATAATTATAATAGTGACGATCTCAGTAATAATAATACTAATAATATGGTGCCTACGATTCTATTTCTACTGTTACTACTAATATCACTACTAGGGACAATTGCAATAAGAATAATCAGCCTCATTTTCGTGTTGTCCTTACCCAGTTGTTCGGTTTACCATTTACTAGGCCTCCTTGAATTTTGTCTATTTTTGTGCCTGTAATAGGTACCTCTGCCAACATAAGATCAGCACTGCATAGCACATTGTGTTTGTGCAAACACTTTCCTCGTTAGACGTCTTTTTTCTTTGATAATGTTGACAGATGGCAGGGCCTGGCTGTTACCCATCCGCATTCGCAGTAGTTCCAAAAATGAAAATGGCCGTTCTCACCAAGCTGCACGCTGCTCCCAGCGCATCGTATTCCTTGGATCTATCTTTCACCCAGTGTCCTTCTACCCTTATATAGCCTGCGTGCGGACTCAATCGGTCTCTCGGTGTACAACAAGGTCATGTCCAATAGCAGACGCTAGGTGAACCTGAGTAAACAAGCTTAGTTTTTAACTGCATAATTACCATGCAAGTACAGTATAATCTAGTGTGTTGCTATAATCTAGTGTGCAGCATAATGCTGCTACCTCTAGTGCCATTCTTGTTGATAATATTGTGTAACGCATCATCAGCACCTATCGATGTCAGTTGTATTCGAAGCCAGTGGGCAGCGTCATCGTAACACAGTCACATCGTCTCAGTTCTCGCTTCAGCTCCCGCTAACAACTATACACAGCAGCATAAACTGCTTACTGTTTAGCTTTGTTCTGCAAACGACTCTGCTTTTTCAGCTTCGACAGATACACCATCGTCGTCGTCGTCGTCTTCAACCTAAACATCGACATCAATATGATCGTCATATGGGCACGTTATCATTAGGGAAGATGATGAGACAATCTTCGTCGGCTAGGAGTTGTGCAGCTATTAGCTTGATGCGATTGGTGCCGGCTGAGGGTGATGAGGGTACGGGGGTAATAATGGTTGGGCTTTGGCTAATAGCGATGCGCCGCTTATAGTTCAGTGTGGTCCAATCCGATTTAGTCCTTGACTTGATGTAGCGGTTTGTCTATATGATTCGCCTGTGCAAAGCAAGCGTTTGTATTTGTATGTTCATACTATGAAATATCTACCTATGTACGTCTGTTCGTACGTCAGTCAAGATAGCAGTCAACGGCGGTCGCTGCCGCTGCTAGTGCTGTTTCAGTGACGGTTATCGGCATCATCGTAGACTGTTTTAAATATAGTCATTATTTCGTAGGTCATACGTACCATAATAGATATAAACTCGTAGCTAATCATCATAGCGTCGATTATTTTTCTCTCTCTCCTACCCTTCTTGGCCGCTTTGCAACAAAATAATATAAGTACGCGAACAACTGAAGGCGCATCTGCGTGGACACACTTTAGTTAGGTATATATACATATATGTGTGCAACCGATTGATAAATTCGAATTTTCCTATCCATGCCTCGTAGGCGAAAGCTGCAGCGCTTTTAGAAACAGCAAATTTTATCGCGAAATTCTAATCCCGGTAGTATACGAAATACGTGAAAACAATTTCACACGATTGTGTACGTATTAGGCAAAGGTGAAAAGCATTCGAGCGATGGGGTAAATTATACTTTGGGCTGATTGGAAGAACCATCATTATTTATTTGCACGGGCAAATATTAACAGCCCAGTAAAAAAATCTGCTCCTTACCAGACTAGCTTTTCTTGCTATCATAGCAATTAGACATGATAGGATCCTTGGTCAGAGTTGGAAGGCCCTGTGGTTGAGACAGTTACATCCTACGTGAACTTCTTCGGGTTCAGTATACTATTTAAAGGTAATTTATAATACTGATAAAACGGCAACAGCTGTTCAGGCTCAGTAGGTAAAAGAATCCGCTAACACGACACTTGGCCATAAGCAACATGCCTTGAAAGACTTTTTGGCCCTCTAAAAATTTGAAGTCCTCTTGGGAGCTTGTTTAGATTATTTGGCCGGTACAAAACCTCTTTAAGATATGTCTGGTCATTCGAAAGAGCGAAAATCAATATTGTCCGGACCCTCACTGTTTGTTAATCCGTGAAAAAAAAAACAAGTAAATCGACCTGAATCTGACCTTATTTAAACGGATATTCAATGTATTCCTTTTGGTACTTTTATTTATGGCTTTTACTTCTCAGATGATGAATACTATTATTTTATTTCTAGGTGCCAACGTAGTTAATATATGCAGTTAATTTTTATCGCTTTTATTATTAATGTTGATATTGGCTATCCAGTGGCTATTTTGCGCGTGTCGCGTGCCGATGGTCTTCCCTGTGCGAAATCTTGCGCGTGTCCAGACCGGGAACATGAACCAGTTGGTAAGCCATACATTTTCTCGCCATCGTCTAGCTGCTGTGACATTGTCTTTCATTACTTGTCGCTGCTGTGTTGGTAATTGACGAGCTACAGCATCCTAATCACCGCAGGTTGACGAATCGACAAGATGAACAACGTGAGCCCCAGTCGTCATACTTAATGAGATGGCTTATATCGATGGTAATAGTAGTAGTCGTAAGAGTAATAACAATTATAATAGACTATATATAATTGCTTGTAGTTACTGCCGAAATGTTAGTAGTACTGGTGAGATCCATACTCTCAGATCGGTTCAGTATTTTACGCTTTCTTGATCAGATGCCAAGGAAATGGCCTAGCTGTTTATCCATCTATTTTCATTTGCCCAATCTACGCTTTTTATGTTATTCGCGTTTTTTCGGCGCCATGATTTGTATTTGCCCGCTGCTTGCTCGGAGCTTCCTCGGACCTGCTACAGGCAAGCTAAGCTTTAAGTGTAAACATCGACGTCACAAGGGGCATTATTGCACTGGCAAAAGCCGTCTTTGCCGCCGCCGCCGTCGTTGACGTTATTATGTTTGTCACATCAATCACGGTCTGCAGCAATCTTGACCGTGAAGAGATTTCTAGCTCTTATTTCTTTCGTGTCTGTAATTCCTTTGATTGTTACTCTTATCCTATATTGTTCTCCAGGCGTATACGCTGTCGTGATTATCGCTATACCTTATTGTCGTTATCATTGAGACAGTTACAATCTGTGTTATTTGTTGCCGAAACTGCTGCTCTTGTCAAATGCTCGAAGCTGTACAAAACAACTTCAGCTACTTCAGTCATTTGAACTTGAAATGACCCGCGACGACGCGTCTCCGTTGCGACCACTGTGGTATTAAGTCCCGTACACTGGCCAAGACGCCAAAGCACCACAAATGAAAAATCGCCAGCGTTTTTCAAAGAGAATCAAACATCGTTATTTTTTTGACTTGCTGGTTCGTTAAATTGGTGAAGCGGCAAATGCCTTTTGTAATACAGGTGCGCCTAGTGCACCCAGATACGCTGGCATCTAGGTCATATGCCAGACTATATACTTCCTTCTACCAAAGTTTAACCCCCGAATATTAGTAATGATCCCTTTAAACGCAGGGGTATTTTCTCCCTTCCTCTTTTTCATAATGGTAGAACATTTGATTACACTTGATTTGTTCTTGGGATAGTTTTAGGATATCGCACAGAAGGTTGTTACTTCATACAGACTAAAAATAGTGGATAGCGACCAAGGAATTGTCTAGTCTTCATCGCGTATATAAAATGGCTAGCCAATCTTAATCACTTATTTTAATGTTTGTTCTCTTTCTAGGGTAATACCTTTTTTGACATAGTGGATTTCCTCACCCGTGACATTGATGGAAAGCAAAACAAAGCATTGAATATGTGTGGCCTGTTGTTACTTTAATATAATTTGGTTCTGGGATGACAATTTCTGTGTCCTTTCTGTTCGAGACGACCGTTCGGAAGCCGGTGGTCTTTGAGTACTTTATCTTATACTCATTTAAGCCAACCCCATGAGTTATCAAACTTTGCGAGGCCTGTGTGTCGATGCATAGCTTCGAACCAACGGTACCGGCTTCGCAACCTTAACGTCCCAAGCGGCTTCCACGGCACTCCAATCCTTCTTAAATTATGTTTATAATTTATTGCCACATCACCTATATCCATAGACCACAGTGAAATTAATCATATAATAATAGCGATAGCTGACTTTAAGCATATATATGAATATAAGGTACATACTTCTAAGTGGTCTCGACAAACAATACGTGTCTATTTGAAAATAAACAGTTGTTCATAATTCGTTATTTAAAGTTTATTAATCATTAGATAATAATGTATTTTTGTATTTACATTTAATTCTTTTTATTATTTTCACTAAAAAGGACAGCTATTTTCATAATTCTATAATAATATATTCATAATTTTAATTCTCTCAGCTCCTTTACTTTAACTAATCTGGGCTATCGTAAACGTCGATTGATGTGTATGTAATGGCTGTTGTTGGATATTGTTCTTTACCAACTAACAGCCAAGTGTTATATAATATTGGAGACAAACTCGGCTATCTTACTCGCGTCAGGGCAAATATGTAGGCTTAACTATGAACGTTTTCCTAAATTGGTGTAAAGGAACCTTCAGTTAAGTTGAATAAAATACGTTCTTTACGCTCAAGATACAATTTGATATCTTAGTAAGTTATGATTTGTTGTAAAAAGTTTTAATCAAAAATACTACTCCCATACCAATCTATTCCAACTGCTTTCTGACCTAGATAAAAGATCTAAAAAAAGATCTGTCAAAAATGTCATTTTATAATCTCTAGAATTCGAAACAGGGTTATGTTTTTTGGGGAGGGGAACAGGGGGAGGGGGGTAATCTCGATCAGGTGACTCCAAAGGATTAACTTTCCGACGGTATTTAATATTCCATTGGTGAGGAACAAAAAATCTAAAGACAAAAAATAATTTGAAAAAAAAAAACAAAAACGGACGATATGTACCGGTTTGATAAATTGGCAACACTTTTATGCTGACGCAGTGACCGGCGTACACTAGGTGACGACGTATCTAAAATCGTGGCTATCGAATACCATGCCCATATGTACATGCTGTTATTAGACATATTCCATCGCTGTATTGGTCTGGCAGAGCGGACAGGGGTTTCGGCCTTTAACCGGCATATGAATTATCTGGAAATGACTTTTTTGTGAAGAGTAAAGTTGATGAGGACAATCGATGACCATCAAATTTTTGCAAAGAAGCCCTTGACAACGTATTCATTCACTTTCTACATGAAATGCATCATATTTGTGCCGCTAACTGGTTACGCTGATAGGAAACGAATTGACTTCTGAACAGTCAGGACACGTACAATACAGTATAGAAAAAGAGTATGGTTAACACAAATTGTTGGGTTCGTGATTTCCTGATGATCGCAAAGGCTCTTCTAGCTTCGCAGTTCCCAGACATTGGTGCCTTGATTACGAAAACAAGTAAGTGCAAAAACAAAATAGCCTTAATTTCATGGATGAGGGTCGAGTATTTGCCGATTTCAATTAAAAAATACAATAGAATCTAAAAAAAATTAAACGATGCGAACGAAATGCGCTGCTGTAGAAAAAGAGAAGCGTTTTATCGTCTAACTGCAAAAAGTTTCTTGTCTTGAGTTAAGTTAGCTTAAATCGTTATAGAAGCCAACTTTAAAAGTACGCTGATAGTTCTATTTTAATTATCATGCTAACACGCACAAGCTACATTTTATTTCCATAAGGAAGTTTTATTCGAATTCTTTGCGCATTAGTGACCTAATTAGGAAGCTGACCGCAAATCTGTGATGTTGCTCATCTTGAAGGACCTGCGAAAAAAGCCCCTTTGAAAAACCGTTGAAGGAAAGATGTCCATGACGTTCATAACACGATCCAATTGCATCTTCGTGACTACGCGGTCTTCATGACTAAGTGAGGGCAAGTCATATACGGAATCAAATCAAACGATATGCCAACACTGAAGTATTCAAGCCCTTATGATTTGCCTCCGCCATAACAAACCACTAAATACTTAAAATCGCACCAAGCCACTACAGCTAACATTCTTTTTGTGCCTCTATAATATGCGCTAGAACTGCCAGGGGCAGCTTTTGGCTACTTAAATACCATACAAATATACGATATTCGAATATCATCGAAAGCCAGCTGTGCCTTGTAAACACGAAGCGTGTTGTTTTTTTTTTTTTTTTTCTGGAAAACCGCTAAATTTCGCTTTTGTATGTGATATTTATCTGTGTAGCTAAAGTAGTTGACCAATAGTCCTCAGCGTTTCTCGTGTTGTTCACGCGCTGACCATACGAAAGCAAAAATTAGCATACTCGCTTGTAGATTACGCACTGTTATCTACTACTTTGTTTTGTGGGAATAATCTGTCTGTTCATAATTAGTTTAACAGAAAAAATATTGTCATAATTTCTCCATATAGGGTATTCGAACGTTCATCATGATAATGTGCTAATGAGCTGGTGTGCTCAGGGCTGCTATCTTGGTAACGTCTCACAAATAACACCCTTGATAAGTGCATATTCACTAGGACAAGTGTTTAAAAGATGTCCTATTGTTACAAAAGGCACTATAGGTGTCCTAACGAACAGAAATTGACATTTCGGAAACTACCCGTCCTTTATCTAATAGGTTTTTTAGTGTTATCAAATTTTTGCACTGCTGCCGAGCATAATTATGACAATTACGCTCATCTCGACCAGATTTTTCCTTCAATAAATGCTTGACAAACGTCCATTCTCCTTTCCGGCAACAGTGATACAAAATCCTTACGCAGTAAAACTCGACAAATGCCCGCCATCATGGCTGAGTACACCAGCCAAATCTGCAGGTGATTGTTACGTACAGAAAAAATCTGTGATAATTTGTCTTTCTACTACGAATTAGAACTTCATTTCCACTTACACAGAAAACAAATGGTTTCGTAGACTTCCCTCGCCCCCATCCACTTCGTACAACTGACCGCGCATTAACATCATCGTCACCGTTAGCAACAGATGCAATGTATTACTGTGGTTTCAGGGCATTAATACATCTTTATCTAATCGGACAAGTCAGACATCATGCGAACATACCAAGTATACATGAACAAAGATATTTGTACCCATGAAAAGAAAAACTGTATGAGCACAATACAATAAACAACAACGCGAACAAGACGGACGGATGCGTGCAGACACGCAATCTCTGCTCTAGCTTCCTGGTGTCTTCCACAAAGGCGCACGGAGCCGTAGAAGGTTTTTGTTGTTACCGCTATTGTTGTTACCGGTGTCGGCGACGCCGATAATAACTCAGAAACAGCAAGCCCAACTGTGTC